ATGACCGATAATGACCGGTCATTTTGGGGTCATTTAAGGTCATTTGAAAATTTTGCAAATGACCAGGTCATTTACCATCACTGCTCCTAATTGTTACGTTGAATTAGCAAATCAATGCATGAATTCAAATCTACAAAAACGACTCAGTGCTTGGGATAGTTGTCGGAAAGTCAATGATTGTCTTAAAATATTGGCTTCCGATAATGAAAATGAGATTAAAAAACAGTTTCTAAATGCTGATAAAATCATTAAACCGTTACCAATAATTCCTCAAAAGCATTCAGACCATATGTATACTAGCAAAATTATTAGTGTAAAAACAATTTCAGATACAATGAACGGTATTTATCTAAATTATTATTTAAAATAAATATGATACTAAAAACAATTAAAATAATTTATTTTATATTTTGCAATCAAGAATTATTTTTAGCAAGTAAACCTATTGACCTTATTAATGTTCCTACTGGTAAGTATTGTGATATTAAACTTATTTATAATTATACAAAATTTTGCTTACCGTATTTACTCGAAATAACACGCACCTGCGCGTTATTTCAAGGAGATGCGCGTTATTTTGAGTACGCGCATGGGCGTTATTTCGGGGTAAATTTCTATAAAATTGATGCGTTATAATGTGTGATGTATAACAAACCGGTATTTCTTAATTTTATATACAGCCTTTCCGATCTAAGTCGGATTTTTTGACTAAAAAATTCTTGTTCCTGCTTGCTATCACAATTCGTCATTTCAAAAGATTATTAATTCGCCATGTGGAGGTGCGTCATTTCAGGGCATGGGCGTTATTTCGAAACCAACTATGCTATTTTAAGGAAATGCAATTTTCTAAATAACGCCCATGTACGTTATTTCGAGTAAATACGGTTAATTTTTAAATTACTAAATTGATACTTTAAAAATATAAATTTATTTATTTTTGTATTAAATTTTAACGTTTTTATTTAAATATTATTAAATTTTATATAATAATAACTATGTAGTTGCAATTAAATTTAAGAGCAATACGTCGTTGCTATGCAGTTGCTGTATTTAAGGTAATTAAATTAATACCAAAAAACATAGCTAAACTCTTTATAATCACCCCAACATATGCCCATTTTCTTTATATATGTTGCCCCTCAAATGATTCCTTGCGTCAGATTGCAGCCGACGCACCTCAGATAACTATCAGATGACCAGCATTAAATGATCTGCGACAATTGGTCCAAATTACCCCATGATTTTCACCCTAATCTAATCCTAATTTAGGCCGGCGTCATCTGATGCAGAGGCACAACTATATATACAACTTGTGTTAAAGTTGACGGAGTGATTAGTGGGGTTAATATGGGATTTATATCACAAGATTGTACAGTCGGAGTAACTGTCATAATTACGTTATTTTCGTTGCTCTTAAGTTTTGATATTTATTTTATTTAAAGCCATCGAGTGCGACATTGCCCCTATGAGACAACAACAGTAAAAAAACATTTAAAAAATTTGATCTTTTAAAAAATTAGATCATTTAAGAAATTCATATATATAGAAAATTCGAATATAAAAATTCGTATTTATCGAATATTAGAAAAAAAATTTTTTGTGTATTTTAATACAGTCAACCCTCTCAAAATCGAAAACTTGTAAAAAATTAATCTACCAGGTCCGTCCCCGTTGTATAAATCTAATAGTTTGTTATGCTTTCAAATCCGATAATCTCTCAAACCTGATATTAAACCTGTCCACCATGCATACCGATTTTGAGAGGGTCGACCGTATTAAATTTTAATATTAAAAAAATTTTTCGGTATCTTAAATATTAAATAAAATTCGAATATATTAAATAAAAATTCTGGTATTAAAAGAATCACTACTGTATATTAAATATAATAAATTAAGATTATATTTTTAAAGGTTAAATTAAGATTATATTATTAAAGATTATATGAAAAATTATGTATTAAAAAAAAAAAAGAAGTTCATTGAGTTTGCTGTATTAAAAGAATGACGAAACGAAAAAAATTATCAATTAAAATAATAGTGAAATTACTCAGTTACCTGGGTTCTACCTTGAATTCTCTACGTGATCCAGATCCAACAACGACCATGAATTTTTACGCCTTCTTTCAGTATACTATCTTCACTGGGAGACCACTTCCCTTTTTAATACGAGGATCTGATGCTTCTGTCCAACGTGCTTGACATTGGGCACCAGTTCTTTGTGGAATTTGGTTAGAAACTTTATTCCATGGTATTGGTTGAGATTTCCTTGAGAATCAACAGCATTAAGATAACGTGATACGGTTTCAATGAGCGCAGCATCTTCTGCAGATGTCCAACGGCCTTTAGGAATGGAAGTATTTAAAGCACCAACCCAACGGACTGAACACTGCATGGGAATCCGATTTGGAACATGTGTTGCAATAAAGATGTTTCGCATTGAAACAGCACATTTTACGCGTAAATCGTTTGAAGAAATCGGATTTTTCAAGTTCATTTTGTGGGTCTTTTTACTATACAATCAGTGTTGAAAATTCAGCATCAAAATTATGGGCCGCAGCGTGCATAAAATTTTTTAAATATATATATATATATATATACCTAATTTGTATAATAACAAATAAATATAAATTATATGTAAGAATAAGAGCTCAGCAAATAAATATATAATTTAACTAAATATGCCGCACTATATTGGTAATTTTAAGGAGCAGAAAATTTTCCGCACATTAATTTTCAACACTATAAACAATTAGCTCTTATTACTTATGAAAAACTTTTTTATTGAATAGATATCTATTCAAAAATCAAATAAACAATTTTTCAAAAATTTGTTAAAAAAGGTTGGTTTAATATGTAACACCCATTTATACAGACCGTATCTTTGCACAGCCTCCCTTAGTAATTCATCTTTTGTTCCGTCTATTTTGTATACACGGGCTGGTTGGAAATTGTTGTTGTTAGGGCACCCGGGGAATGTTGTGATGTGTTTAGAGATGGGAAAAATGCGCATTTTATAATAACATGCGCATGAATGCGCATTAATGCGCACGTTATATAAAATGCG